CTTTCTCGTTCTGGTGTCCTTGGTGTAAGTGTTTGTGCCGCAGCTTTACATCAATCAAGACCTGAGCAAACTGCAGCAGCCGACACCAATTAAGCACATCAGGGTCTCGCAGCTGATGCCCCCCCCGCGGGCTGAGGGGGGCTGTCACTGGTGTGCAGCTCTCGCAGGCGGCATCTTGCTTCTCCCTGATTGTTTGTGTACACAAATTAAGCGGGAGCATCTCGCGGCGCTTTGATGGGATGTGCTACATGATGTGGAACAGAACAGGAGGGATCACACGGAGGTCTTCTCGAGGGGGGAGCGTGGGGACAGGGCTGGCGGCTGCTCTGGAGGCGAGTCTGGAGTAAAATGGTCCAACTGGGGGAAGGGGAGGGCAGAGGGAAGAGAAAGAGAAGAGTTGCAATGGAAAGATGTTCAGGTTCTTTCTGCTATTTTGGGGATGGAAAGAGCAGCCCTTGGTTCTGCATGTGAAGGGATCAATCCACTGCAATGGGGGTTTTTTTGTAGAAAAGCAGCACCAGAGACCTCAGCACCAGGCAGGGCCGCACTGGGAAGTGGTGTGTGTCCTGGCACAGACCTCACTGCTTCTGAGGGGTTGTGATTCACAGAGCAGCCCTGTGAAGGGACGTCGACTTGCCCATGGTCACCCCACAAGGACAGGGACCCCTGTGTCCTGTCCCACTGTCATGCCCAGCAGAACATCTCCCTTCCCGGGTACCAGGGAGACATAACAGCCCACCTATGAAAAACCAACTCAAACTTAAACCACAGCTAATTAACTAAGAGGACCAGTGCAGTGAAACCTCTCCAGTCCCAGAGATGGGATCTGGGGAGCAAGTGCTGCTGCTGCTGCCTGAGATGCCATCCCAGGGACAGCAGTGTCGTCCCTGAGCATGGCTCACTGGGGACCGAGGTTTTTCCCTAGATCCTGTGCTCCAGGGCATTGCAGCAGCCTCCAGCCCAAAGCTAACGGAGACGACAGCCCTGCAGCCGCCCAGCAGGCCCTAATTGCCCCCAGGTCATGGGCACCCTCCCCTCTGCGTGCTGGCTCTCCTGTGTGCTGGAGGGCTTTGAGCAGCTGCTCTGGAGAGAGAGCCCCTTCATCCTCTGTTCCCCTGACCCACAGGCTGCAAGTGCCTGGGGTTACAGTTAACTCCTCTGTCCCCACAGCTCTGCTGGGGACAACCGAGTGCTTCAGGGCAGAGCTGAGCCAGGGAGGAATGGGATGGATGTTTGGATGGATCCCGCTTTACTTGGTCTTTCCCTTGAAGCCCTGGCACACAGCATTCGCCTCAGCTGCCTTCTCCTCCTGGGAGGGGAAGCAGAAGGAAGGGCAAATTTTGCTTCTCTCATTAGGTGTGTGCCTACGGGATGTTTGCAGGGACAGCTCTAGCCAACCTCTGAGTGCATGGCTCGGTCTATCACGCGCTCCCTCTGCGCTCGCCTGCCGTCCCCCGGACTCAGCTTCCCATGCTGCAGATGTGCTGTGTTCAGTGGCTGTGATTGACGTCTGGGAAAGAAAAGCCTTTTTGCCTGGTGCCACTTGTTGAAAGAAAATGAGCTGCAGGTGTGTTTAGTTCTTCACTACACTAGGTACCAAGCCAGCTCTAGCCCTCAGTAGGGCTTTACAACCCCTGCGTGACCCAGCTACCCCAGGAATGTCCTTAGCTGCATTTTTCTGCTAAAACAGAGGCTGAACACAGGTTACGCACACACACAGCTCAGGCCATGAGACGTAGGACCTGTCTATTTTTAACCTCACTCAACACATTTGCAGTGGGGTCACTTCTTGCCCTGCTCTGTCACAAGAAATCGCTACTGAAGCCCCAGCACACCGATGTGCCCAGGCAGAAACCAGGGTAGGGCTCACACTGCCTCGGAGCAGATTGCTCCTCTGGGTCAGGCACCAGGGCCTCTTACCACACTGCTTTCTTTGTCTTTTGATATTACAGCTATTCTACAACCTTTCTGCAGCAAAATGTGGTGCCTTGCAGGTTGGCACGGGCTGAGGCTCCTGGCTGCTCTCCCTTGCCCTGAATCCTGCACAGAGCCACAGAGAGAAGCTATCGAAAACACTCTTGTCCTGCCAGAGTCCGTGCATGGCCAAAGCTTGTTAACCTCAACGTCCAAGCGAGGCAGCTATTTGTAACCCCAGCTAAGCAGCCCCGTGCAACAAGATTTCAGGTGAGTGTTGCAAAAAAAATCCCCAAACTCGCAATGCCTCAAAGAAGGGTTTTGCAGGTGAGGGGCAGAAGGGCTGGGGAGTGCTGCTCTCCATCCCACCAGCATCCCTGCCCACTGCCACTGAGCCCCCAGCCCTGTGCGGCAGCTGGTAGAGCCGGGAACCGGTGAGAGGGGGGCTGTATAGCACAGCCAGGCATTGGGCATGTGGCTTGTGCTGCTGGGTGAGCTCCTCCAACGGCTCCACTCATTGCTGGAGCCCAGTTCTACAGGGGCACCTGGAGGTCAGCCCTTCAAGAGGGTCCCTGCACCTCCAGCATCTCGGTCTGCAGCTTCTGCACCTCCAGCATCTCCGTTTCTGCATCTTCTGCAGCGCCAGCTTCTCAGTCTGCACCTGCAGCGTCTCAGTTTCTGCAACTTCTGCAGCTCCAACATCTCAGTCTCTGCATCTGTTGCAGCCCGAGCATCTAGGTCAGCATCTCTGCACCAATGGGTGCTGTACCCCACAGGTCTTGGGCTGGGGCTGATTGGGAGTGGGGATCCTGAAGACCACGGGGATTACTGGTCTGTCCAAGGAAGCCGGTGGTGGGGCACAGGGGAGCCTCTCCCCACAGTGCTGCGCCGCCCTGGGCTGGGGGAGACTGCTGGGACCCCCCAGACATAAGGAGCCATTTTCAGTCCATACCATAGATCAAAGCATGCAGGGCACACTGTGCAGGAGGGGGCTGGCAGGCAGCTCATCCCAGCTTCCTAATTTTACACTGCAAAGGTTTTCTTCTGCTTTTAACATAATACCGCAAACTAAAAAGCCTGGTGCTCCTGATTCTAGCATAACCCTGCTCTGAAACAAACAAAAAAAACCCCCTCTTTGCAAGTTGTGAAGCTCCTGCGGGACTGGCTAATTAGCAAGACGTTGGGTCCTCGAGGCAGGACCCAGTGCACCAGCCGGGGGGTGAGC